CAATCCCTTTCCCGCAGGAAGATTGCCAGCTTCTCGTGGCACTGCGTGATGAATTGCTCTGAAACAATAACGTCTCGTAGAGCTTCGTACGTCCGTTCGGTCTTGGCCATCTCTTGCCAATGGTCGAAATAACCTAGTAATCGCCCAGCGAACTGTCGACCCGTTTCGCAGTCCTCAGGCTTCGCCGACCGAAACTTAGTGCGGTAGCCCTCCTCTGTAAACCGGAAGCGCTGCAACAACGTTTTCTTTAACGTTGCGTAATCCATGGCATGGTCAGGTGCCATTCTGCCAACAACACTTAGCGCTTCACCTGTCAAACAAAGGCTCAGTGAAAGGGCCCACTTGTCTTGCGGCCAATCCTGGCTCCTGGCGACGCGTTCAAAGCGCTGGATATACGCGTCCAGCTCGTCGCGAACTTCGTTGAAGGGCGGTATGAGTTTGTGCGGACTTTCGTAGCTTTGAGGAGAACCCATGTGCGGACCCTCTACTGATTGACCTGTAGTCACGCTACCCGTTGTCGCATCTAACTCTCGGAGCTTCAACCTTAGTTCGAGAACCTCCTTTTCTGCTTGTAGCCTCGCCAGTGCCTCGGCCTCAGCTTCTTTTGCCGCATTGCGTTCGGCTAAACGTACTTCCCGCGCTTCTCGTTCACGTACGCGCTCCTCATCGATCCACTGCTTTAGCCCTGGACCGCTCAACCCCAGTTCCTTTCCAATTGCTGTGAGCTTGTCCGTCTCCATCGTCAACCGTCAGACCCGCATAAGCGACGCGCTGCTCTTTTATAGGATAAGAGCGGTCCTGTCGCGGACGCCAGATGTGATGTTTGTTGGTGAGGTTCGTCGCGCCGCAGAGCGTGTGACGCGTTGCGGATGGAGGAGACGGTATCTGACGTTAACAACCCACACTACAATTGTATTTGACAGCATACACACACGAAATACATAAAGCGGCAGCGTACACTACTAGTCAATTGTCTCACGTGGCGGTGCTTGGGGACCAGGAGGCTGTGGGCTGGTTGCGTCCCTGTGATGACGTAATCGTCGTCGGGTAGATGTCCGGTGTGGAAACGACGTAGCAGCAGCAGGGGTTAAGGGCCGAGTGAACGAACCGTCGCTCGGTAGCCGGTAGCCAGACAGGGCTCGTCCGCGCCAGGCCAGGACCTTGCGACGCTCGTCTCGACGGCGGTGGACAATCTGGAACCTCGCGCGTAGGTGCGGGTTCTCCGAGAGCAGCAGGCCGCGTCCCAGGTCTTGCCAGGCGAGGACCGTGAGGCGCTCGTCTCGACGGCGGTGGACAATCTGGAACCTCGCGCGTAGGTGCGGGTTCTCCGAGAGCAGCAGGCCGCGTCCCAGGTCTTGCCAGGCGAGGACCGTGAGGCGCTCGCTGTCCCGAAGACAGGCGCCCTGTGTATGCGAACCTCGCGCGTAGATGCGGGTTCTCCAACAACCTGCCGCCCGTTCTGCCGGCGTTCCAAAAAAAAACTGTCTCGCCTGCGCGCGCCCTTCTTAATCTTCTTCTGCAGCCCGAGCTCCTTCGCTTTTCTCGCCTTCCAGCGATCGGCCACTCCGTCGTCTGCTCTCGCTTTCCCTGCTTCGTCACACCATCATGTGGACACACAGCGACAGTCGCACACATGCTCTGGGAGTGTAGAACAACTCCTGCCGACTCTACCTAAGCAAGTGGAAGAGGTCCCTCAGGAGCTCACTTCTCGCCTACCAGCAATGGGCCGTCCAGCAGGCCCACGAAGCGGCCGCCAGGTACTCCCTGTCGGTCTCTACGTGGGAGACGCCCGCTACGCGCTAAGCGCGTCCTGCAGGACTGAAATGAAGTTTGTTCATTCCATTATATTCCCTCCATTGAGAGAGGCAGTAACAGAACTGCGCTTTTTTTCTTCCTTTTTTTCCTCTTTTCAAAGCCACTTCGAAGTGAAACTACCGCGAACGCGGCGACTCTACGACGTAGCGTACGCTCGCATTTTTCATTGCGGTTTCTGCGCACTCACGAACCGCAACATTGTCCCACCTGCGAGCTGTAAGCAACCTCGCTGTCGGAAGGAAATAGCGGAATGAGTCGGTGCTGAACGTCCTTCACTAATCGTTAGCGGCGGACGAACAATGCGGACGTCACGGGCATCGCGGAAAAGAAAGCGATCGAAAGGGACCATTATGACGGCGAATAAGGGTCACCAGGGCGAACCAATACCCTGCTGTCGTTGTTATAGGTACGGGTTCCGTCAAAAGTTTCCAAGCCACGCGGCCCATAGGAATACACGTGACAGTGGCATGGGAACTTGTAACGAACCCTGTAACATCACCTAGCCCTTTCTATCTATCTTTCGCGTGTTCTTGATTTCCTGTATTCTACGAACCTTAGAGGAAGGCCATTTCCGAGGCACGATACAATACCGCGGAAACGCGCCGAGGAAGAAAAAAATACTAAAAAAGAACAGAACAAGGATAAGATCTGCCATCGACAGCACCAGTCACGCGTGGTAGCAGGAATTAAAAAGACACAGAAAAAACACAAAAAGCACAAGACGATCATGACAATAAAGAAATTCGCGCAAAAACAGAAAGGATAGGCATTGGACGGACATCCCAAAGACGTCTTGGCGAAGACCAAAATAGGCCGAAGACGCGAACGCGCGGAGCGATCGCATGAGCCATGCTGCAGCGTGCCACTGGGCACGTCTATAAGTGAGCTACCCGCCGACGGCAGCCAGAACAATGCCTCTCCGGGATACGTCGACCTATCAAGGCTGCCCGATGTCTACGCGTAGACGAAGAATGCCTTTCACTTCCAGCCCCCCCCCCCCCCCACACACACACACATTAGGTGACGGGTTTCGAACTTTCAGGCAGAAATTGCGAGTGGCGTTCTGCGCTACCCACGCGATATTTATGAGCTCCGAGCCTATACCTGTTAGAAGATGGAGGCCTGTGCGTAGACTGACGTTATCGTTTGTATCTTTGAGACTTTCCTCCGCAATGTCATAGTCTCGTTCGAACTGCCCGTTGTGTGCGGCACGTATTTTCTTTATGTACTCTGGCGTTAGCGGAAAGGACTCTCCCGCAATAAGTGGCGTACCTATCAGGCCGCTATACATGTAGCCATGGAATAACGCGAGTTCATTGTTCCAGCACATGCAGCTTCAATAGATCGCATGTTTGTCGCCGTACTACAATGTTCATATTTAACAAAATGTTAACACAATGTACAGGGCAATTAAAAAGGCGCTATCACCATAGTTTCTACTTTTTTTTTTGGTCGGAATGGCGTTTAGTCGTAGGTTTTATAAATGTTAATCTTCAAGTAAGAAGTTCCAAAAAAGCAATAAAATGTTTTCTACATTTCAACTCAGCAGGAATAAATATTCTGCTTTTGGGTAAAGAAAAACGCTGTTGTCGTAACAAGCTTGTCACTTTTTGTGACGAAGTTCAATTCTTTTCTAATTTGATGCAGTACTACTGCCGTATTTTCGCAGAATTCGAAATACCGGAGCTGTCACTAATCCCGTGATTGGGAAGGCAATCGCCGGGCCGATTCCAAGGGCTGACGTACGGGCCCCCCGAAACGCACCACGAAAGCCTGGGCAATCGAGGTTAGGTCCCTTTAGTGCACTAGCGAATGCCGGTTGTGGTCCGAAGACCAAGTCAGAGCCAACAGTTGTCATCAGAAAACAAATATATCCTTGGTTCAAGGCAGTACAATCGTTATACATACGCATATACATCCACGCACACTCGGCTATAATCAACTGACTATATTACTCTGATAGTATTTAGGACTATGGAAACACTCAAACCAATCACGCTATACAAATGAAATCTCATGCATTACAAAATCTTCCGAACACATAAGGTCTTGAAGTATCCAGCAATCATGCCGATCCACAAGTTCTCGAAAGGAGTCCCGAACGCTCCTCTTCCAGGAGACACGGAGACTCCTCCCAGTGCTGGTTGTTGTGCCCTCCATCGCCAGCCCGTTATATTTCACTATTCTTGCAGCTCTTCACCAACCGACTGACTTTCAGTCGCTGCCCGTTTATACCAGGCTGCGGTCGAGTTGAAGAATATCCCCCCCCCCCGCTCACGTGTTCGCAGCACAGTGAAAGCCAGGGAACGTACTATAGATCTTTCTAGCATGTTCTACTGCTCAGACCAGAGGCAGCCACGTCATCTTCTCGAATTGTCTCGATCTTTCCCGGTGCTCGCTTTCACGGCGTGCGCAGTTTGTAGAGGAGCCGATGTTGTGTACGCCGTGGAGATGCGACCGTTGCTGGCGTTGGGGGGGGGGGGGTGATTATGAATGAAAGGAAGAGAAAAGCGAGCCCCGTAACTGTCTCTCAACAGTAGCTCACGAGAGATGGGGGTAGAGAAGGGAATAAAAGGATAGGATTAAATGGTAGGGAGATAGAGGGAGAGGAAGGAGAGAGCGAGGCGCAGGGAGAGTGAGCGACGGAAGTAAGGAGAAGACAGGAAAGATGGGCACGATTCCAGGAGTCCGAGGACGGGGCACCACTAGCGAGAGCTCTGGTCGGCGACAGGAGATGGTGTAGGGCTAATCCAGTCGGCCAGAGATACGCTGTAGTCGTCGTCGGGGACCGGCGTCAGGAGGTGGCGTAGGACCGATCCAGTCGGCCAGAGCTGCGCTGTCGTCGGAGATCGCGAGGGCACAACCGGTCGACACGGAATCGCGGAGCGTGATCGGTCGGTGCCGTCCGCTCTGACGCGCTTCAGAGGGCCGTTCCAGCGCTCGTTTGTGACAGGAACAAAGATTTTCGTACAGCTCTACAACAAATTCTAAACACCGCTATAAACTTTATACGCTACAGCTATTTGAGGAACGCCAGCTACTGGCGACTTTTACGACAGTACACCTCTTGTCACAGCCTGGACGTCCCAATATGGGAGGAGCCCGCGACACGAATCGCGTCTATCGGGACTATTAAAATATAGCTAGACCAGCCCAGCAGCCGGAACCGCGTAAGTTGTACTCACCGACGTGCACGATGGGCAGTGTCGCCATCTCGCGGAGGATACGCTCGATGAGTTCCGAGTTCTCCGGGTAGAGCCACTCGCGCGCGATGCCGGTCTGAAACTGCTCCCAGCTGGTCATGTTGTTGCTGGTGGCACATGGAACGAAAAAAAAAGCAAGTACAGTCAGAAACATTATCAAAGGGAACGCCGAAAGCCTAAAAGGCCTTAGTGAAAAATCGAAGCTGGCGAGGACACCCGGTTTGCTACCCTACAACAGGAGCGAGATGGAAGAACTTATTAGCTCGACATTGAGGACAATTTGGAAGTGCAAAAGTACCAGCTGAAAATCAAGACGTCATATTAGTAAGTAACGCATGATATCTTGCCTAAATTAACACGCTGTTTCTTTTCATACCTTTTCACCTTTTTACTTTTCATACTGTTAACGACTGTAAAGGATTACAGACACTCTTTATTATCTCTAAGAGCGATGCAAATACACCCCCCTCCCCCACGTATGTACAATACCGAAAATGATAAAACAACAGACCGAACTTTACACAGAAGGCACAAGCATTGGCGCCCACATTTCGTTTTATTAGCGAACCCGTATCAGCCCAGCGGGGAAGAGCGGCCTTTTCGCAATGAAACGGCAGGCGCCGTCTGCATTAGGCAGGGATTCGTAGCGCAAATCGATAATGATATATGAATTTCCGAACGTCCTCCTTGGAATCTTCACAGCAAGCCAGGTTAACAAGTTGGCGTTAAATTTTACGTTGTTGCTTCAGATAAGACGGCATTCGTGTCACTTTGGCGGTGATCAAACTTGCGCCAGCCTCGCCAATGCCTTCATTGATTTCCTTGATTTTATTTGATTGATTGATTGATTGATATGTGGGGTTTAACGTCCCAAAACCTCCATATGATTAGTTAATTAATTTACTTGTATACGATTAACCATTACGTTTCATCCAATTACGTCTGAGTTTAACGTGAGCGTATGCGTTGTGCCTTCCGACTAACCATCGTGGTGCAAAGTGTCGCGATTGCGTATTAAACTACACAACTTTTCACATTACTGATTGATTGATTGATTGATTGATATGTGAGGTTTAACAACCCAAAACCACCATATGATTATGAGAGACGCCGTAGTGGAAGACTCCGGAAATCACGACCACCTGGGGGTTCTTTAACGTGCACCCAAATCTGAGCACACAGGCCCACAACATTCCCGCCCCCATCGGAAATGCAGCCGCCGCCGCCGCCGGGATTTCAACCCGCGACCTGCGGGTCAGCAGCCGAGTACCTTAACCACTAGACCACCACGGCGGGGCGCGAATACAGGTTAACAGAGTTGTCTAGAACGCTGCATAAAACGGCGCACTACGGGGCGTTCCAGCAAGCTCCGGTATATAGTGTGTAATAACTTACGCTCGAGCATTCGTACCAAGTGCCCGTGCCTGCTAGAATTAGGGCACCTTCCACCCGGGTGTAATCGCCAAACGCCGTGCGTGCAGCCGAAAATCGCGCCGTTCCACTGTTTCAGAGAAGTGCGTTGACCCGGGTACACGATGTTCCGTGCTATAATAGCTGTCGATATTAGCACAGCCCACTGACCTGGTCTCGATCTGGAGTATGTGTCCCAGCGTCGGGTTGTACCGCCTCGGCCTGACGATGCCCCGTACTGGATCGGCCGGAGGCCAGGCGATGTGGACCAGGTCTTCGAACGGGTCGCGCGCTCCCTGCCGGGATTCGGCGTCGGCGACCACTTGGTTCTCGGCGCTTCCCGTAGACGCGGCGTTACCGGGTCCTTTCTTGGCAGTGGGAGCATTGCTGCCCGCACTAGGGTCATTCCTCTTGGAACCCCTGGCTGCGGGCGACGGCTTGTTTCGACTGAGCACCGGGGGCGGACCCCGAGATGAGACCTGCGAGCCCGGCTGCGCGACGTCCGCTTGGCCCCCTGCGGCCCCGCCCGCGGCCTCGCTGGCGGTCCTCTTGGAACCGCCTTCGACGGAGGCCTTGGTCAGGAGTCGCTTGCCGAGGACGCCCGACGGATCGGGCCCGGCAGGCTGCGAGCCACGAGAACCGTAGTTAACCAGCAGCGCTTTTTTGTACGCGGCAAACCGAAGCAGGTCACACGTTACGTTGGTCATCACGAAACCAAACGAAGCGCTTGGATTGAGCAACAGTTCAAAGTCAAACCCAAACACCGGATACCAAGTAAACTTATGCCCTACGATATAAAATGGAGTAGACACAAAAGTCATCTGCGCATGCTCAGCAATACAATTTTTTTAACGATCGACCCATGCAAGATAACAACTCAACTTTTAAGAGGCCTTTGTTTTTGTTTTTCGGTAACAAAAGTAATTGATGATTTTGAAGCACACCGGTGCATTCCGTCTGGCCCTTGTTGAAATGGTGCCCACCGCGTACGCGGGAATGAAACCGCAACGTCTTTTACTTTAGTGGCGTCACACTTCGGCCGCTAAACTGTACCACTGGGACTTCCAAAACAACGGAAGACAGTGATCTTACGGATGATTCGGAAGCATGTGCAGATATGGATATGGACTCTCATAAGGCTCTGAAGCGAACCCGATCTCCCCAATCAAAAAACTCTTCGCATAATTCGAAATCTAAAAAGTATCTATCCAAAAAAAATTCTTTGAGAACATGTCTAAGAAAGACTTTTTGCGAAAGGACATTTTGGACCAAGCAGTTTCTGCGACGGTTCTGTCGTCAAAATAAATTCACTAACCATATTACAGTAGAATTGCAGATCTATATATTCCGCAGCCACAGACCTATTTTCCGCAGCCACAGACCTTCACAACTTTCCCCGGATATTATATCACTGCAAGAAACCTGGCTTTCAACAAGCCAGAAGTTTCACCTAAAAATTATCGGCTATTTTGATTGGACCGACCTAGCAGAGGTGGTCCAAGTTTAGTCACAAAGCTACGATCTCTTATCGTTGCGTGACTCCAGATTGTGAAATTTTGATATTAGACATAATATTACCAGACGCTTCTCCCTTGTCGTTTGTAAATGCGTATTTCCCAGCCGGGGTGCAAGACACACGAAGTCTAGACGATATGTTCTCTGCCTGCAGAAAGGATATATTAATCACTGGAGACTTCAATTCACATCATGTGGCCTGGGGTTTTAAAACAGATTTAAGCGGAAAACGATTGTGGGAATGGGCTATTGACAAGAATTTATCTTGTTTAAATTCGCAATCTGCTACTTTTGTCCAAGGTCTCTCTAAATCTGTAATTGACTTGAAATTTTCAAGCTCATCTCTAAATATATGTTCGTGGCAAACTTTAGACTGTGCTACTAACAGTGACCACTTGCCTAT